GGGGGGGGGGTGCAGGGTAAATTCAGTTCCAAAAGTAGTATAACGAGTCTTTATCTAATTATCTTTCATACTATGTTTGCGAACAAGAATTGACTTGTGAGTAAGTTATCCACAAAGGTGATAGCGTAAGTGATGTGTATAACGGTCTGAAATTATAGCTGTTTCTGCTAACAAGTAGATCTACACATGTTTACATGTAGGCTACACATAAAAGTCTTGCAATGTTATTTTATCTCCAGATCTGCAATTCTTTGCCTAGCTGTGGTATGCTATACATGAAATATTGTTAGGAGAAAGAAAAGTTTTGTGCTTAAAAAAAAAAAGATCCAGAACGTGTTTTAAACTTTTGACTTTGAATTGAACTCACTGTCGTGTAATCCCGCCGGGGCGGTGCTACTGACTGAAGTGTCTTAAGGCCATTCCCAAAGGGGGAACATTAACATGTTCTTATGCACAGAAGAATTGTAAATGGGCTGATCCATCAATGTCATGCTCATAACTGTGCCTGAACTGCAACAGGAAACTGCTGCTTTTTCTTTCCTAATCCTTACTATCGTCATTTTTCTTCTACATCTTTTGTATGTTTGTCACACTCTTGTGACTCGCTATTTCCGGGATGCCTTCATAATCGAAGCAGACTTTGTGCTGTTGAAGCTAGAGAGGTGAGCAGAGTAAGTCTGATTCACTGTACGGACTTCTCTGTTGACATCCAACCCTTGGCGCTCACACATATACATGACCTTATGCAGTTGAGAGCGCCGTAAAACCTCTACTAAAAAAAGTGCAATCGTGATTTAATAAGTTATTATATGAACTTTTAAGGTTATTCAGAATGGTAAAGTCTTTTTTTTGGTGCTATTCTGGTAAATCAAACATTCCTTCCACGAGCTACTGTGTGGCTTCTGTACTTTGTTCTGTTAGCTTCCCGTCATTTTTTACCATGATGAACGTGCTGCGAGATGTAAGCAAACAAGACCCAATTGACTGATTAAATATTTTCAGAGAGCTTAAAGAGACCCCCAACACTCTACCCTATTACTTTTTCACGACTTGTCTGTTTTTAGTTGATAGTATTTCATGAAATCCAGCCTTGCACGGGCTACAACTCTTAACATCACTTTTAGTTGGCCTGTATAGTATTGTGCTGTTTGTTTTTTAAATTGATTTCTGGCTTTAATGATAATGTCGATCTGTTCGGGGATTTTTAAAATGTCAACAGATACAGACAGAAATAACAGGGATTCTGGAGAAATAGGACTTGCCCTAAAACCATACACTATTTTAATGTGTGAAGTGTTTTCATCTGTCCGTTTATACCGTCAAATGTTAAATTTACTATTATCAGGGCCAGCTCAGGCTGAGTGGAAGCAGAGTCCCAGTAGAAAGACTGACATACCTGAACATACTTGATAAAATAACTTTTCCCCATGCAAAATTCAAACTCACGTCACTGTCTTTAGAGTTCAAAAGCAAAGAGCCCAACCATTACACCACAAACTCCTGTCAATGATATAGTGTTGTATATCCTTTTTCTTGCTTTGTGATGATAGTTTTACTTCACTTGCAACACAATTAGGTTATATAAGTGCCGAAGATTAGAGGTTCGAGGCGTTACAAGAGAGTAACAAATACAAAAAAGAAGGTTGAGAGACTTCCTTTTTCTAATCAGATTAATAAACCACTAAGAAACTGTAAAAAGATGTTCATGTTTGTGTTTTTATTTTTATTTTCTCAGGAATTCCATGTGGCGTATGTGTTCATCAAGATGGCCAACTCTCCCCGCCCCGGGGTGTGGGTGCTGGAGAGGTCCACAGACTTTGGAGCCACCTGGGAGCCCTGGCAGTACTTCGCAGATACGCCCAGCGACTGTGCCAACTTCTTCAACACAGCGGCCGATGAACGCATTTCCTCTGATGACCAGATCTTGTGTACCACAGAGTTCTCCAAAGTCGTGCCTCTGAGCAATGGAGAGGTTTGTTGACTTGATTTAGAAAGATTAATAATGATTAATGTTAACCCTATAGATCCGAACTTCGTGTTGTACTATCATATCCATACGACGTGGGGAACTCTGTGCCCCCATTTTCCAAAGAGGAAATTTACTCTTTAATCCGATCCAGACGCTTTGCATAGCAATCTGTCAAAATGATTTTTCGAGAAATTCTGAAAGTTTCAAAGAGATCTTCGCTATAGAAGTATTCTAAAATATAAAGAATACTGTCCCTAGGGTACAAAATGATCTAGACGTACGGATAGGGTTAATTAATTGCCTCCACATTAAATCATGCTAATAAACTTAAATTCTGTTAATTCATCTTGGCAAACAAGAGTGTTAAGTTCTCCCTTTACTTGTTACAACCTTTAACGAATTTGTTTGAGTCTTAGTGGAGGTGGGTTGGGGAGGCGGAGGTTGCGGAAGGGTGCATGCGTAAAAATTATGTGTCTTGTTTTATGAAAGCTTTCGAAAACTTACAGTTTGTGTCTTACAGCAGCAAATTGATAAAGTGCGTACTGTTATTTTTACCTTTGTATTTCAGTTGTCTGGAATTTATAAACTTTGAACTGTTTCTAGTTTGGATTATGTAGCAGCTCCTGCTTGCTTGAGTTACAGCCATATGAAACACTGTTTGTTAAGTTGGGATTTTTGCTCGCGGGACACTGACGATTCTGAAGTCGCTTTTAAGGACAAGCGGGCTAACCCAGATTTTGGGGGTTTCCAGAAATCTTTACCTACACCAAAAGTGGGTATTGCCCTACTTATAGGAAAAGTTTGGTTTTATTAGTGTGTATATTATTTGTTAGGTTAGAGAGGAAACTCTCCGTTACTTTTAAAGAAACTTAACAAGGGGCAAAAACTTTACCTTCAATTTTTTCAGAACAGCATTTTTGGGGATAGCCCCCTTGTGCTTAAAAGCGACCATTTGCTCTATGGTTTTGTTTTCTCCTGCTCACAGAACAGTGTCGATTATTTGCACAATGGTTTTGTTTTTCCCCCCCAGATTGTGGTGTCGCTGGTGAACGGACGTCCCAATGCCTTGAACTTCTCTTATGCCGACACACTCCAGGAGTGGACCAAGGCTACAGATGTCCAGCTGAGACTGCTCCGCACCAAGACCTTGTTGGGTCATCTCATGGCTGTTGCCCGCCAAGACCCGACCGTGACCAGGAGGGTAAGTATCTCCTCACTCGGCATTGCTTCAGAACTGTTTTGTCGAAATAGCACTTAGTTATGTAGTGTATTTCGGACAAAATAATCATAAGTCGATGACCAGTGTGAAAGGTGAAATGGTTAATTTAAAATAAAAGGTGATTTGATAAAAGTGAATGGTGAACGTGAAAGGTGAAATGGGGAGTGCACAAGGTGAAATGAAGTATGTCTAGTGTTGAATGATGTAATTCTAGAATTTTTATGTATAAAGTATGTCAAAATAATATTGGGACTAAGCTTTCTTAAAAATAGGTCCTTGACTGCATGGCTGGGAATATTTAAAAACTTGTTTTTTATGAGTTACTGCAGTGAGTGAAGAGATCATCTTTTGTTTTGTTCTTATCTGATCATGTTAATGAGTTGAGGAGGGGAGATCAATCTGTAATCTTCCAACTTAGAACACAACATGTATCCCTCAATCAACATTTTCAACGGAATTGGAGTAAAGCAGTCTACTGCCTGCCCACTAAGTGACTACCCCTCAGAGACAGTGGAACATCATCTCTTGTTCTGTAGAAAACTAACCGATTTGATGGGATGTTTTCTTCCCAAGCTACCCCACACATCTAACTGCCTTTATTCCTCAAGACAACAATTAGAACAGATATGCAGCTATTACAGAATGGCATCAAGCAGAAGAGTTAAGGCTCAGATGCTACTGGATCGCTAACTATAACAACTATTTTATCCTTACATTGAGCAGGTCAGTGAAACCAAAATTCTTATGCAGGAAAAATTGACACATTTTTCATTTTGAATTGAATGTGACCTTTTCGCACACGATGGAGCCAATTGCTTGCTGGTTTTGTAACCTTGTGTTCCATCTTAAACTGAAACACAGAGACAGGTTGTCTACTTTTATCAAAAATTTTGCATCATTAAACAGATTTTAAAAGTCTTTCCTGCAAGGCTTTTACAAGATATTATTGTAATTACCAAATTCTCTCAAGAAATGACTTTGCATACAAAATTTTACATTGTTTTTTTTTTCTCCCAGTATTACTACAGTATCAAGGACATCTCCATTGGTGGACGCTGTGTGTGCAACGGTCATGCTCAGACTTGTGACACCCGTGACCCGACCACCACCAAACTGCTGTGTGACTGCGAACACTTCACCTGTGGAGAGCAGTGCAACCACTGTTGTCCGGGGTACACGCAGAAGCGCTGGCGACGAGCCATCATTGATCAGCCGTTTATGTGTGAACGTACGTCGTAAGCCTTTTAAGAATGAAGTTGTCTCATTTCTGTTGCCTAAGCAAGATTGTCAGTTTTGACATAGTTGCATTACTGAGTATTTTTTTTGCTTTTTAATTGAAGAAAAATTTTTGGGTGGGGGGGGGGGACGGGGGCTGGCGTGCAATTCATTTTCCTTTTATGGTTTTTATATTGCAAGAGTGATATTTCATTTTACGATAAGTTTTTCTCTGAGGGATGTTTTTCAATATTAGTGTATAATGGGATTATACCACATTTTTATGATTATTAACGTTTTACTAGTGTAAACTTATGTTAGGCAGTGGGAGCATATGTGTTTGCAGCTTGGCTATGGAATTTATGATGATAATGATAATTTGGTACAAATATTTTTGTGGCATACATTAGTTAAAGAAGAGCTAATGTTTTTAAATAAGAGATTGGCGTAACCTGACACACAGAATGTTTTTTTAAGTTAACTGTTTTTAAAAGGCTTAAACTGTTATTTCCTCCGTCTATTCCTCAGCATGTGAATGTTATGGCCACTCTGATGAATGTATTTTTGATGACGAAGTGGAACGTACCAGGCGTAGTATTGATATCCATGGTATCTACGAGGGAGGTGGAGTGTGTCAGAACTGCAGGGTAAGTCTTAAGTAGTGTTTATTGCATTAAGTCTTTATATCTGAGGTGGGGTAAACCCACAATGCTGGGGCCCTTTTTTTATACTAAATCTAAAATGAGGAAAACGTCTGTATTGGTCATTAAATCAAAACAAGTGAACCTATTTTGATAGTTCTTCATCTAATGAATGAAATCCTCATAAAAGAGACCTTGCTGAAATGTAATTTCATGTAGAAGTCGTTGTAAAGGAATGTTCCTGAGTCACTGAGCAGCTCACCGGCACTGCGGTTCTGATTGCGAGCCGCTAGGAGTGGTTTGCCGGAGATAAAGAGTTAAGTTAACTCTTTCCACACTTAAGTGTTTTCCACTGTTACACTAGAACAGTGTGCTGTGAATGTAACAAGTGAAAGAGGGTGTTGGGAGAGGCGAGCTTCTGCATAGAAGACGATGTCCAAAAAAATGTTTATACATAAATTGAGCCAATGAATTGATGAAATGATCCTTTTTGCTCTAGCAATACTTATAATATTATCCTTTGGATAATAGACTGTGGAGGCGTAGCTCCCAATATCACAATGTACTAAGGATTGGTATGGAATGGGTTTAATATTGTATTGGTTAAAGCGACTGTTGACGGTTTAGTCTGAGCGTTTTTTTGGTGCTGTTTAACTGTTGAAACATGAATGTATATAATTGAAATGCCTGCATACCAGGCTATTAGTTTTGTGTTTTGTGGTTTTGTCTTTTCTTACCGTTTAATTTTGCTGTTACTATTGGACAGTTATCACTGTATTTTCTTGGAATTTCAAAACACTTTTTCACATTCTTTACTTTACTTTACTTTACTTTTCCGATCCAGCGGCCATTTGGGTTCTAGCCCTTCGGTCTGTTGATATGGCAAAGAATATATTTTTTTCACATTCATATATATGCAATTGATGTGTCAAAAATATGTGATTTTTATTTGTTCATGTGTAGTCAGTAAAGCTATCTGTGGATTTTATTACAATATACTGAGGACTTTTGTGGGAGTGACAATTCTAGCTCTAATAAAAATGTCTCACTATCTCCTGTGTCTAACTTTTCTTGTAAAAAAGGCCTCGTCATTGTCTTGTGTGTGGTTATAAATTCTATATAGTCCGTTGTTTTTAACTCTTTCCCTACCAGGGGATTTTCCTCACCTGGACAAGGCCCTATCTGTGACCTACTTTCTGATTCTGCCTACTGTCGGACAAATTAAAGATTTTTTAGTTCAATTTTCAATATTAGCCACATGTATTATATATGGAAATAAAGGGGAAATAATTACCTATTTTAACATGTTGCTAAAAATGATCAATCTTCGGCCTGAGATTTCAGATTCAATTACATGTATTACTATAGTAGACGTGGTTTTGAAGCAGGAAGTGGAGGGCTGTGAAACATGGCTCGTGGTAGTGAAAGAGTTAAAGCCTGCCCGAGATAAAACTGGCAACATAAATTGGTTCACAAAGCAGATTATCAGTGTGTAGAAACAGATTAAAGGCAATTTTTGAGAAGGTCTATTGAAAAGGTCTCCTTGGGCTGCTTGTAAATCATAGTGTTTTATGTAATTCTTGAAACCACATTTTAGGTAAATAATCTAAAATTATGAAGCTCATAAGATTGAATTGATGCCAGTTTCTTTCTAATTTTGCTGTCACTGAACATCAGGTACAATTAACTGTAGGTGTTGAGGGCTATTGTGAAGTGCTGAAGATTCGTGTAATGTCTCTTAGATGCGTTTGATTTTCTCATATATATATCTGAGGCAGCCAACAGTTTTTCAGAACTTAGAAAAGAGAATTATTTTCCAAACTCCAACTATTGTATTACATCACTCTCTCACCCAGGACAATACGATGGGCATTAACTGTGAGCAGTGTGTATCTGGCTACTACAGACCCCTCGGTGTGCCAAGAAATGCAACAGATGCGTGCCGTCGTAAGTACATTTGTGTCACGACGCAGTTGAATCAAGCGCTTGTCAATTTTTGGCCATACGGAGTTATAGTATCATTTTAAACCTTGTTCATTTATCTTTCATTTGAAGGAAAAAATACCCATTTATCTTGAATAGAAGTCGAGATATCCACATTTGAAGGAGGTGACGGTCGCCTTGTTTCAGAGGTTAAATTAGCGAGAAAATGACTGTGAAAGCTTGATTATTTCCTTACCTTGAGAGCTGGTGGTAACTGAAAACTTATATTATTTGTGCTTTTTTTTATAATCTACTTTTTTCCTGTAAAATCCACACAGAAATGTGTTCTTGAATGGACGTAAAAGATGTTGAGCCAAAATAAAAAAATTTGATAAACATTGCCAAACGTGCGAAAAAATGCCTTTGTTAGATTTCATTATTGTGACGATCGCGCCTGATTTCACCACACTGCCTCACATTTTCTTTGCTATAGTATCCATTTTGAGTCATAGTGATGAATGTGTGAACGTGGGAAGAGTAGTATACGTAATAATTGAATAATCTCATGACTTTCTCGATCTATTTAAAAAACAAAGGGAAAGCTTTTCTATTTTTCTCCCTTCTTCACCCATAAAGAAGAATGATTGTACTTTTTTAAATCTTTGTCTATAAAGGTGAAATAATAGGTCACTGTATGAAAAGATTTCGTTAGTCAGTGTATGAAAGAATTGGTAGGCCTATAGAATTAATGATTTCCTAAACTTTTTCCTGTGATCAGAATGACAATCCCTTTTGCTTTCTTCTTATTTTCTGCTCTTTTTCAAGAATGTAGAACAGGTCCACAGATTTAACACAGAATGTATTTTTATAATGATGAATTCAAAGGAAAATAGACTAGATGAGATAAACTTTATATTCTTGTCTTGGAAATATTTGTTAGCTTTATTTACATCCAAGTACTGACTGCTATATTATTTGCTTTACTCACTTGTTTGTAAAAGGAATTAGAGCTGTATGTTCCATTTTCCTTGTGTTCTTACAGCCTGTGAATGTGACCTCCGCGTGTCGACGGGAGAATGTGAGGAGGGCAGCGGGAGATGCCTGTGTCGACCAGAATATGCAGGTGTCAATTGTGACAGGTAGGACTTTCTTTTAAAACTCAGGATAATTTGATGAAAAGCATAATCCAGGGACAGGAATTTTTCTTGTCCTGAGTCAAAAAGAGGTAGTTTTTTCGCTTTACCTGGAATTTATTTAGTACGTTTATGTATAAATAGTGAACAGTTCTTTTTTACACTGTCTTCAAAAGTCAGGACACAGGGAGCAGTCCCCATTGCTAAGACGCAACTCAATTTTCTTCTTGTAATGTTTATTGTCAGAACTAGGTACGCAAAGGAGGACATGCAGTTAATTTTTAATGGACCTAGAAATGTGCAATCTTATTGAAGAATGTACAAATTTTACAAATGTAAAAATTATACAAATGACAATTGGTCGCTTTAAAGCACAAAAGCGCTATCCCGAAAAATGCTGCTTTGAGAAAATAGAAGTTTAAGTTTATGCCTCCTGTACAGTTTCCTTAAAAGACAAGAAGAGTTTTCTCTGTAACCAAACAAATATACACACCAATGAAACCAAACTTCTCCTATAGGTACGGCAATACCGACTTTTGGTGTTGGTCAAGATTTTTCTACCAATTTTCTACTTCATCCCTTGCATTTTTTTTCCTGTGTATTGTTATGACTCTGTCCAAAATGTCCACCTGTCTAAGAAAACCATTTTTCTCCTCAACAATAAGTCGCTGGTGTTTTGGACAATTTCGACTGCACTTTATTCTTTCACTATTCCGTATACCAGGATCTGGACCATAAAAATGTATCTTATCTAATCTTATCTTATCTTAATCCTTAACTTTATCCTCATCGTTATCTTTATCTTATCTTATCTTATCCTATTTAATCTTACCTTACCTAATCTTATCTTATCTTATCTTATCTTATATTGTCCATAGATGCAATTTTGGCTACTACGGCTATCCGGACTGCATCCCTTGTGAGTGCGATGTGAACGGCACGGAGGGAGCCATCTGCTATGTCACCTCAGGGAATTGTCCCTGCAAGCCAAACTACGATGGCAGAAAGTGCGACCAGTGTGCTCTAGGCTTCTACAATTTCCCTGAGTGTATTCGTAAGTTGAAGTTCTTCACACAGTTTATAAAGGATGCTACTTTTGGTTCTATGAAAACGCTGTTTAATAAATTAATCTTTTAGATAATAAAAGCTTGGAAGGTGCATACTCATTTTGTATTGCTTCATTTTGACTGAGCAGTCTAAATATAAATAGTGTTAATATCGATTGGTCTTTATGAGGTATTTTGTTTCATAGTTGCATGTGTTGTCTTGAATTCAAATGTGAAATTAACTTCCCTTCTGATAGAGGAAACCTCTCTAGAATGAAAAGAATTTATGGTAATCGTAAATTTTAAAACATTATTTACTGATTTGCTGTGATCTCAGCTGATCTTTGTACTTTTGAAACTACATACTTGTTGATAATGTGTTGGAAGTTATCATAAGTTGGAAGGGCAACCGTTATTGTTGTTTGTCTGTTATGTGTTAAGAGTGGAGTGCTTGCTCTCTGTGGCTGTAACCCTTTCCTTGTTGAGTTGTTTCCATCTACGTCTTTACAAACATGGCAAAATGTTCATCCAAGAGAGCTTGAAACAAAGCTAGAATATCTTTACATTTATCTAAGAACAAGCAACAGTAAAAGTTGTAATGACATCTCCTAAAGTGTCTCCTATATACCAGTAGACACAAATCGCTGTGAACCAGTTTTGGACAACAAAGTAAATTGATACATATGTACTGGAGTGAAGAAGTTAATTAACGGATTTTTCAACCTTCCTGTGCTAGTGTTTCTTCTGATTATCTTTTAACTTGAAAATTACTCTAAAGTCTGCCGCGCCGAGCATATGTATTGACTGCTAAAATTTGTTCTTGATTACAACCATTTTAGACTCATTTTTTCAGGGCTTTTCATATTTGTATTCATAATCCGTCCTCTTCTGAGTACAGCACATACCTCTAAACCATGACCTAAAGAGATTCAACCCAGAAAAACCACCCACATACTTGCTTTGTGACTATGTCTGTGAAATGATCTAACATCTTCTCTCCAAATGTTCCAAACTACAGGACTTCAGAAAGCAAATTCTACCTCTAGTCGCTACCACAGAAAATAACCTATATTGTAGTGAAGAACAACTATTGAAGACGTCAACATTTGTTAACATGGCATTGAACTGAAGGATACACACTGAAAGGCTGCAGGATTAACAATGACATAATATATTACTTTTTTGTTTCAGCTTGTGAGTGTAGTCCAGTGGGTTCTCCCACAACTGTGTGTGGCCTGGAGGATGGTCTGTGCCAGTGTCTGGGCAACTATGGAGGCAGAGACTGTGGGGAGTGCGCTGATGGCTACTTCAGATTTCCTCAATGCGAATGTAAGAAACTGGAATCATTTGTTATATTAATTTATGTGCTATCCAGTTTTGGGTGATATGTCATTTCTTTTTTTCAATTAATGGTTAGGCCTACCTACATATGTATTTACTGAGGAATACAAGATGTCCATCAAGTTCAGCTTTATATATGATGTAACAAATTTGTGTTCTCTTGTCATTTGTAGTTCTAGTCTTTGTATGTGACATAAAACTTGCACAGCAACCCATTTAACTTTTTGTTACAATGACATATCCTTTTATGTTACCTCTAAGTGTATAAAGAAGCATATTTTTGAAACGATAGTGCAATTATTATTTCTTCAAAGATTTGACTATTTCCATTTTTTTTTTCACATGAAGTTTTGGTCTGCCTTCACAACTAAGGTCATTTTATGAAGAAACAAATATAATGTCACAAACCATAATTCCTCTAAACATTCACAGGTGGATGGTTGGTGGGTGTTCTGGTGTGGTTTGCTCCTTCTTTCCTATCAAACATCTATCGCCCTGATCTCTCCTCCTTCTTTTTTATGTTTGTTACTCTCTTGTGACATCTCTAATCTTCAGCACTTATATGACCTTATTGTGTTGCAAGTGCCGTAAAACTCTTACTAAAACAAACATTCACATGTACCGTTTTCCTTTCATGACCAGATTGCAACTGTGACCCCAGTGGAACAGTAGAAGAAATCTGTGACAAGCAGGTTGGGACCTGCATGTGTAGAGAGAACTACGCTGGTGACCGCTGCGATCGCTGTGCTGCAGGCTACTTCAACTTCCCAACTTGTCAACGTAAATATTTTACTCTATGTTTTAGTTTAGTTTAGTAAGAGTTTTAGGGCATACGGTCGTATGAGCGCACAAAACAAGTCGGTTGCATTCATAACAGTTCATTGCACGGTTTGATATTTGTCAATACATTAAATGTTAAAATATAATAAATTCGTGGCAATAACAAATTCTTAGTTTAAAATATTTTTTAAATAACGTTTAAAATTTAAATAACTTTATTCACAATTTACTGTAAAGTCCATTGGCCTTGATAAAGTGTAGAATTTTGTTGGGATCAACGACAAACACTCTCCCACAGATTGACTTTAAAAATAAACTAAAAAACTACACTTCCAGTCTGTGGGAGACACTTTGGAAAATAAAATTAACAATAAACTTCACAGCATCATGTCCTAACTGGGTGCATGAAAACCTTCAGGCCTCTTCAGAAGACACAAAGTTATTTTTACTCGATTACACACCAGACACACCTCCCTGACACATAAATACCTCCAAGTTATGAACTATAGTGAAAGGTTTCATCCCTCACCCTCTCCTGTGGGTTTGGTTTTTTTTCTAATTCGGAAAGGTAAATATCTGTAGATAATTTTGTTGTGGGCTTAGAATAAGGAACAATAGCTCTTTGTTCAGTTCCTTCTACCATGCTCCTGGATTTTTTAACTTTGTCTTTGTAGGTGAATATTTCTTTGGCTAGTTGAATATCATGTATGCACATGAGATGTTGAAGTATGTATGATATTAGTGCTAACAATATCAAATGCAGTAGAATTACTTCAGTGCTCATGTTTATGATAACGGATAAGGGAATGCGTTCAAACATTTTAGGCTGATTTAATCAGTTTCAAATGGTAGTCATGCTTTCAGAACATGTATATGTGACTGAATTGCTTTTAGTTTGTTTTTTTCTTGTGTGTGTGTGGTTTATTCTCAGTAATCATGTCATAGACGTAAAGTGCTCAGAGCTTACACAAGTATGGAGTAGAGCACCATATAATACATTTATTATTTTTATTATGGTTTTGTTTCAGAGTGCCAGTGTTCGGACCCTGGATCTCTCAGTCCTGTCTGTGCTGAGAATGGCCAGTGTCGTTGTGCTCCCAACTTTGGAGGTCTCAGCTGCCAGCATTGTGCTCCTGGATACTATAAATACCCAGACTGCATTCGTGAGTTACTGCTTTGTTACTTACTGCTGATTGAATCATGTCAATAAAGGCGGTTTAGTATGGTTCACTTTTTTGTTTAAAACTGAGAAATGTTATTGTATTTGATTTTTGAGACAGTGTCTGTTGAAGCTAACAATAAATCCCTATACGTATGCCTGGGGTCATTTGATACCCCAGGAGTTGTGTTCTTCACATTTTAGAATACTTCTTGTATGAAGATCTCTTCGAAAGTTTCAATATTTCTCTAAAAATCATTTTAGCAGACCATACCAATCGGATTAATGAGTAAATTTCCTCTTTGGAAAGTGGGGGCACAGAGTTCCTCACGTCGTATGGGTATGATATTAAAACACGATCTACGGATAGGGTTATTCAATCAGTTGTGGTCACTTGGGTTATTACATGACTTTTATATGCTCCAAATTCATATTGACTGAATATGTAGGCCTATGCTTCCCAGGGTGCTGAGATTATGTCAGACTGCCTTCAGGTCTGCTGTGGTATGATTGAGATTGTAAAATGCATAGAACTTGCTGTTGAGTGGGAATTTGTGCTATACAAATATTTTTTTTCTGATTTAAAAAAGTCTACAAAATTAGAATAGTTTATCAGGACATAGCTTGCTGTGATAAAGTAATTTGCCTATTTCACTTAAATATCAATATCTGCTGCTTTGTATTTGGATCTGTTATGATTTTGTTTTTTCGTGTCGTTGCCTCTTTGTCTTCATCATTTCAATTTTTTATGTCCTTTTGTAACTTCATTCTATTCCAAAATTCCAGCCTGCAACTGTGACTTCTACGGCTCCCTTGCTCAGACGTGTGACCAGGTATCTGGCCAGTGTCACTGCAGAAGCAACTTTGTGGGTGTGATGTGCGACACGTGCGGGGAGAGCTTTTACAACTATCCAGTGTGTGAAGGTGTGTGGCGGTGAAAGTGGTTTCATGAAGAAATGATTACTGAATTATGGTAAAAGCATAAACATTATGTGGATGTTGCTTGAAGTAGGAGGTGTTTAGTATGAAATTTAAAGACCATAAGAAGAACAAGAGATGGCATATTTGTAATCATTGACTTTAGAGGTATATGATATCATGATATTATAGTTGGCTATTGTGTTTGTTTCTTACTTTTGAGCATAACCTTTCTTAAAAATATAGATTTCATTTAAGATATTGGGGGGG